GAGCTGCAGGTAGGAGGCCGTGGTCTCGGCTTCACCCTGAAACACACAGCCTGACATTTGGGGACAGCACCTTTTCAAATCGAATCAGTCCAGTCTGCATCTGTTACGTGGCACCCATTATACATCTGTAATGTGTATGTGTAATGTGTAATGTGTGTATACAACATATATGAACCAAAGATCAGTTCAAATGTGTTGCTAAGGTTGCGAAGCGATTTCTTGGGTACGTCCCCTTTCGGTACGGGGACTGCCCTGGCGTGATGCCACCTGTTTCCCTATGGATAACTGTACGCCTTCAGCAATTGCTTCCATGGAAAAATAGCGCTGTGAAGGACTGCTAGCTAACTTTCTGCAGTTTGGCACTGGGGAAAAGCAGCATGGAGTATGTGACAGGTGCTGCAGGGAGACCCACAGCAATTGTTCTGCAGGCCACAACTGTGCCCCGAAACTCTGTTGTTGTGGGTGGCCAGAGTTATTTTTGTGGTGTTTACCAGGCAACACTTGTAACTTCACAACAGTCAAACAGTAGCTCCTTCTGTCACCTGAACCTGGGGGAAATCTGTAATTGTTACTAGTGACACGGAGTGCACGATACATAAAGAGCATTTGTGATTCCAGCCAGGTAGTCAAGTGGAAAACATCCACCCTAGCTGGACTGCAGCAAAAGAGTGCCCTTAAAATAAGAGCTACTAGTCATGATTTCAAAAGATCATGTTGAGAGAGAAGCAGACTGTGCTGCATAATAATTCTTGTTTCTAAAGTACGAAGGCAGGGAAAGAATCACAGTTTTCTACTGTGGAATGAAAATTAAAGTGATAAAAAAGTTTTCCAGAGAACATACGAAAGAAAATTACTTCCACAGAGTAAGTATTTTGTACCAGTTATCCAGTACACCATGTCTTAATCCTCTGCTGTGAGGAACAAATGAGTTATTTTTTCAAACTCTATTCTTTTGTTTGTGAACGATTAACTACTGTTACAAATTGAATTCTCCTGAAGACAGCATGTGTCAAGTGAATAAAATGATTGCTTTCTTTTTTCTTGGGGCTGTGTAATTTTGGATCTATACATCTTAAGTGAAATAAATCACTTTGACAAGGTACGCATGACCCAGTCAGTAGCTAGCAAGTGGCTGGCACATTTTTCCAGTGCAAAAGATGTGCCACAGGTGTCTGTCCTTAGAGTCAAGAGGGTAAGTAGCTGGGCTCAGCTGGAGCAAATTAGTCTCTCAGTCCACAAAACAGTGAGCTTTGGAAGATTTATCCTGGGATCTAGCATTGAATTTAGAGTTAGGTCCACTGTGGAGTAAGGAGAGAGTAGTTACAGGCAGGAAGTTTGTGGGTTTTCTTTGTTTGCCCTCCAGCTAATGGCTCACCTGCTCATGAGCTTTGACCGCTTGTTTCAAAGGATGGGTCAATCTTCATCCCTGTGTTGCGTGACTTGTGTTAAAAGCAGAACTGGGCCTCAAAAGACACCGGAATAGGGTAGGATTTTTGACTCTTGTTATCTATTAACTGTGTTCTAGAACCAATAAAGATAGGTTAAAAGATCCTAAGAAACAAAATGGAACTTAAACTGAGGTGTCATGAATGAACAAAACAAAAACTTTTCCTAAATACCTCCTAATTCTGGAGGTTTTTTCTTCCTCCATCTTAAAGTTTCCTAGATGCTTATGATTCTACTTTTGAAGATGCTAGAACTGCCACAATCTGAAATGCCCTAAGACTTACATACTAGCTTATAGCAGAAACCTCAGACACCTCAGAAAATGGAGCTGTGATTTCTTGATTTACAAAAGTGGGTTGTATTCAGATTGCTGTTTTGGTTTTTTTTGTGTTTTCTTAGGGGAGTACAGGTACCTATGCTTGGGAGTTATAAAATGAAATGAGAGAAGAGACCTTTTTTCAGCTCTGAAGGAGGTACATTAGCTCCATAGAGACTGGAATTTCAAAAACATCTCTTTCCTAATTATTCATATAGGTCATCTCCACTTGCTTTCTCCCTGAGCATACTGTCTGTTTTGGATCCTTCTTTGAAGTACTGATTTGTCTTGCAGCTTCTGGTTTGAAGTGTAATTGTGAGTAGATGCACCATGTGATGGTTAGTTCTAAGTGTTCTTTATTGGGTCTAAAATTTTAGTTAGATCTTGTCCTAAGCCATGGCCTTTGCTTTAACAAACAAGTGTGTATGCATCCTCCCACACACATGTGTATAGTAGCCTCTCAGATGATACTTCTTTCAGATGTCTTTGATTTTCAAGGTTGTAATGAAGCCCTCCAAAGCAGACATTTCCTATTCTGCTTTGCAGCCTTTCTTCATTTTAATAATATTTAATATTGAAAAAGAGCAAATCTTAATGTCAAGGATTCCCCTGTGCCACCAAAATAGAATGTGGCTTAAGAGAATTCAACTCTAATAATGCCAAGGAGAGAGACTGGCAAGGAGCTGTTATTCCTATCAATTTATTTCTTTATTGCCAGCAACATACCTTGAACTTGAAGATCCAGTCTGAACATACTCAAGGACTAAGAAGTTTACAGTCTAAGGCGCTGATTCTGCAGTGTGCTGTGCAAGAGAAAGGATCATAGTAGAGTCAGTGAAAATTAGGTACGCTAGTCTGCTATTACTAAGCTATTTTTGTAATGGCTTATTATAAAAATTGGCACCAAACATGACTGGACACCCTGGGAAAACCAAAGAAGAAAGAACTGGAGACATGTTACTAATCTTTATTTCTTTTTACTGAAGATTTGCCTATGGTCACTGCAGCAAAAGTGAGTCTTTAGGACCGCACACAATTGTCTGTCCTCTAATAGATTTTCTTTCCATTTCCATTTTAGATCTTTTCTCAGGACTGTTTGGTATGAATCTTGAATTACTGCTCTGAAGTTCAGATTCATACTTAGCAATTCTGCAGAGAACATCTCTTACTCCCGTTTTATTGTTGTGATCAATTTTTGCTGTATTAGTGCTAGATCTGCATTCATCTGTGATACACATCAGAGACCTAGATACTGATGCATAATACTGTATGGAGAAGACCTGACACGATGCCCTCACTTCATGGTTCCTAAAATCACCAGGAAAAAAAAAAATCATTATCTGGAATAACCTTTCGTTACGCATTGCAACCTTCATTTGTCTTGGGTGACCAGCCAGATCTAAAGTCAGTTTATCGTTAACCCCCTGCTAGTGAGTTCGTTTAAAACAAAACAAAGCTGTTGGTTTGGAATAACCTAAAAGGATCTAAAAATGGGGCAGGTATAAGAGATATGTCATCATGAATTCCAGTCATTCCACTGAATTCAGGTCTGAATTTGGCCTCATATGCATCAACACTGTTAATAATCTGGAAAATGTTTCCTTCCTATTTGGGGAGGAGAGAGAGCTGTTCCTTGAGTTTCCGTGGTGGAAGAGTGGGGAAAAAAGTGAAAATATGAATCTGTCGGAGGCACTATGACCTCTAGAATTCCTGTGTGTGAGGTATATATGGCCGTTTGACCAATGTCTTTAACATTCCCATTGGCGCTCTTTGAAATTGCCTATTACAAAACAGATGGTTCAGTAGTTACTTTTTGAAGGGCTAGAAGAGCATGACCACATCTGGAATTAATCTTTAGCTCCCTAAACCAATAGATCACCCAGTTTTAAGAGGGCCTTCCAGTATAAATGCATTGCACACATACAAAGAGAGAATACACAACTTTAAGGTAGAGTATAAGCAGCCTGGAACTATAATTCATAGGCACACAACTCTTTCTGTTCAACTGTCTCGTTTATAGACAAGTTCTTTTTACAAACATTTCTTTTTATTTTCACTTAGCAACAGCAGTAAGTGAAGTATGTAACTTTTAAAATGTGATTTAAAAAATCCATACATTTTCAGTTTTATATAAAGTATTTTCTGTTGATGGCTACATTATTGCTGAAGAAATGCCCCTCCTCATTTTCATACTATCCTTTGCCTTAAAGTATTGCAGAACTTTGTATAAAACCAGCATGCGCCCGGCCCCATCTGAACAGAACTAGCTATGGCATTTTGGGTGACCATTAAGTAGTAAAACACCTGCTGTATAGAAGGATGGGAAAAGGGCATTAGGGCATTCAGCTGATGAGGCTAGGGTAAAAACTATTTCTACAATCTTTCATGCCTGTGCAAACCACAAGTTTTATCCCAAAGAACCTCACATTTCAAAGTATGTGATGCTGAACTGCACCTACCTGGCTAGCGCTTGGTGTGGAGAGTCTAAATATATGAAACATCAACTTTCTTTTCCGTCATTACAGAAAAAGGTAGTACTGTCACAAACGCATTACTTGCTGCGAAGGCCCCAAACTCCTGTCACAAAGCTGTGGTTAAGAGTAGAGAAATTTGAATGCCACATAATCTACAAGTCATGACTCT